CGAGGGAACCCCTGACTGCTGCTCCCTTTTTAAAATTAAATAACTTTATATTTCATTGGATTTCCCACTTACAGAAAAGTTGCAAGAATTCCCGTATACCCTTCATCCAGATTCCACAAATATTAATGTTTTCCCATATTTGCTTATCCTTCTATTTTTTCCTGAACCGTTTGACAGTGAAATGCAGACGTGATGCCCCTTTACCCCTAAATATTTCAGTGTGTTTCCTGAAAGCAAGGACATTTTCTCACGGAAGCAGAGCACTGTTATCAAGGTCGGGAAATAAACACTGTTAAAATATTGTTATCTAAGTTACAGCCCTTATTCAGATTTCCAGTCTTCTTACTGCAGACTCCACTTCCTCGTGTTGGAATCCAGCATCCCTTCCACAACTCCAGAGGAGGAGGGACCCCCCCCACCTCACACCCTCCTGTTAGGGATTCATTTCCGGGGTGCACTGACATGCTGAGTCCTGTCGCGGTGAGAGCACAGGCTGCCCACGGGGGATATTTGCATTCGCCTTCTTGCCCAACAAGGGGGCTGGTTCAGGAGCCAAATATGACAGTGGCCAACATTGCCTGACTGGTGTGTCCCCCTCCTTCCCGCTCCTCACAGAAAGTTCCACCCTAGCAATACCAGCTACTACTTATTGAGCCCACAGACTCGCAGGCACTCCACCCAGGACAGGCGTGTTATTATCCCAGTTTTGTAGAAAAGGAAGTTGAGGCTCAGGGAAGTTAAGTGACTTCCGTTGGTCACACAGCTAGTAAGCAGCAGAGCCAGGATTACAAGGGCCTTGGCCTTTCCACCACCGTGATACTTGTCTCACGTTACTGGACCTTCCCCGAGATAAAACATCAGAGAAGTGGCCTAGTGACCCCCAGAGGCTATTGGCCAGCTCCTGGTGTGACCTGGCCCATCCAACCATGTAGGCCCAGCTCTAGTGACACCCTTAGGGGAGGTCTTCCCTATCACATCAGCCATGATATCACCCACTGTGTGGACTTCGCCACATCTTTTCTCCCTGGTTGTCTTCTAGTGTGTCTTGCCTTCAGTAATAAATTGATGATAGTTTGATTTGATCAAGGGGAGTGGGCTGGGCTGGGGTAGGTAGCTTACAATGAACAGTGTGCGAACTTTGTGCCAGACAGCCTGCTTGGCATTGTCACAGAAAGCATCTCGTGTAATTCCACAGTTATAGGAAGAGGTAATGATGGATGAGATCCATTATAGGTGCAGAAACTGAGGCTCAGAACAGTAATGTGATTTTTTTCAAGACGGCCTAGTAAGTGAGAAGCAAAAATGCGATGCAAATCTCGGTCTGGCAGCTCTGAATCCTGGGCTCTTTTTACCCCACTCAGCTATCTAGCAGGATGTAGGTGGCCACGGATTTTGTGAAGTTCCCTGCATTGGGTGGATGCCCACAAGAGGGCACCAGGCCTCTGCATGTGAGCATGGGTCCTGGTGGAGAGGTGCCACCGTGGCATTGCCTGCTTCCAGCAGCAGGTGGAAGTATGAGCAAGAGAATCGTTACCCATCTTTAATCAGCCGGGAATGCTCTTACACTTGAGACACTGAGACTTGTGGACTTCAAACTGGGGTACACCTGTCCTGGGATCCTGTCTTTAAGCTTTGATGTGTTTTTTTATCACAGAGTTTTTGCATTAATTTTTTTTTTTTTTTTGCAGTACGCGGGCCTCTCACTGTTGTGGCCTCTCCCGTTGCGGAACACAGGCTCCGGACGCGCAGGCTCAGCGGCCATGGCTCACGGGTCCAGCGGCTGCGCGGCATGTGGGATCCTCCCGGACCGGGGCACGAACCCGTGTCCCCTGCATCGGCAGGCGGACTCTGAACCACTGCACCACCAGGGAAGCCCTGCATTAATTTTTAGTTTTTAAAACATCGTGTTCAAATATTTTTTTATCATAATTACTGAGCTTTTAGGTACTTCCTTAAATTTTGTACCCCAGGGAGTGTCTCACTCACCTCACTATTCCTGGCCCTGGCTACAAAATTTGAATTTTCCAAGGCGTATATAAACAATGATAAGGTATTGGTTTCTAGATCTTCAAGGGAACTGGTTTCTACATCTTCAGCTTCTCCACTACTCTTTACTAGAGATGATGGTAGAGCCCTCTCTCACAACCATCCATTTCCCTCTTTACCGTGCGTTGCCCTGGTGTGTAAAAAACTCTGAGGATGCACAACCAAGGGATAATTTGAAATACTGCTGTAAGGAGGCAAAAGACTGGGTAAAAACTCCTTTTGCAAGTTCAGTTGTTTCCAGTTCTTTGCCTTCAACAGCCTTGGAGAAGAGCCTAATGCTCACAGACCATGCAAAATAGATTCTGATGACAGAGCGCTTTTGACCTGTACCTTAGGAGAAGTTCAAATATTAAGTGACATCACTCTTTTCAGTGACACCAGCCTAATTATCTGAACAAGATTGGAGTAATATTGATGCTGAGCCCTGCTTCACTCTAGGATACGTGAACCAGTGAAAGAAAAATCCATCCATCTGATTAAGAGATTACTATTTAATCATGTGAGAGGGTGGTTTCTGGAAGGGTCTTTCTCTGTCTGCTTGTTGGCCCTTAACCAGTGTGCTGGAGCCATGTGCTCAGGCTCCAACTGAGCCTTGCTCTCTCCGCCCTGTCCCATCACCGCTGCCACTCCTATTCCTAGTCCTTTGGCATTCGGCTGTTCCCACCACCTTCCTCAGCCTAGCTCATCCCAGCCAAGGGAAGGGAGAGTCAAGGGGAGCAAGTACAGATGGAGACCCCCAGTGTGGAGAAGGGGGTGCCCTGAGAGACCTGGGGCTGGTAATGGTGGCCCTTGCTATGAGATCCTGGAGAAGGCCTGTGGGGCATGTTGGCCCCCAATTTCTTCACCTGCACAATGAGGTTTAGCTTAGATGACCTCTTAAGCCTCTTGAGTCCAGGATTCTGCCCAACTGTCCTCGGCAATGTCTTTTGTAGAACTCTCTCCAGAAAAGAAAGCTGTTTGGTGGTTGTTTCCTCTGCCCAAACAAGCCCCCGCCCCCTGGCGCTTTACTTTCTGCAGCCATCGTGGGCCCTGCTCTCCCTCTCTTAAATCCCAAACAGGTACAAATTCAGATGCCTGGTGGACACTGCCACCTAGGAGTCCTTAGGCACCTAAGTAAACATGTTTCAAAAGAGAACTTGGCATCTCCCACTCAAGTCTGCTTCTCTTCCTGAGATCACCATCTCCATGGGAGGTCCCCACCTTACCAGTCACTCAAGCCCCAGACCTGTGAGGCATCACAGGTGCCTCCGTGTCTGTCACGCTTGAGATCCAAGTCATCAGGACTTCTGGTGATTTTACTTGCTGAGGAAGTCTCAGATCACCTCACCTGTTCTGCTGCTACTAGGCCCAAGGCTCCTGCTTGACCCTTAAAAATAATATCCTTCCTGGTTCCCATTTCCCGCCACATCTCTTCCAGCCTCCCTAAACCATAGCCTTTCCTGCGTAACCACTAGCTAGCTATACAGCAGAGAAGGCTGGTTCAAACTTTGGTCAGAGTCGGCCCCTGGAATGCGAACTTCCCTCCCACACACGTACACATATTTGCTTCAGCTGAAAGCATTAATGTGTCCTGGATGCCTTAACCCTCTAGGCACATTCTTCTTTTTATTTTGGCTTTGCTGAGAGACAGTGGAGATATTAATAAAAACAGAGAAGATGAGCAATGTGTGCATTCCTGATGTGTGCTGGGCACTGACCCACAAGCCCCTTACTATGTCCTGACAATAATCCAGGAATTACCTCATTTAATATTCATAATAACCTAGGAGAGAGGTATTATTAAGCCTATCTTACAGTTGAGGAAAATGGAGTACAGAGAGGATAATTTTTCTAAGAACATCCATGGATGGGGCTGGACTTCCAGCACAGGTCTGTTGAGTTCCAAGGCCCATGTGCCATCTACTAGATACATTCAGTTCTTCCTGAATCTTGAAGAAAGTTTTCAGATAATTCATGATGTGATTGTGAAAGTTTTGTGAAAAGGAGTTGATGGTGATGTGCATTGGTGTGTATTTGAGATTGCTGGTAGCGAATCCTGTAAAAACACATTTTCCACCCAGATTTCGCAGGGCTATTTCTGAAGCTTAACGTTAGATTCTACTTTACCTGCTTTCATGGGTGACTCATGAAAAGCATGGTTTATGAGTGTCTCTTTCAGGCTAAAAATCATGACACAATCTACGAAGAAACCAACCATCTTCTCCACTAGAATGTACTGCTATTTCATACAGTGTGAGAACACAGCCAGGGGAGAAACATCTCAGAGATCAGTGCAATCTCCAGATGAAAAGACCGAGGCCCAGGGAGGTTAAGTGACCAGCCAAGGTCAAGCAGCTTGCAAGACAATGAGCCCAAGAGTCTCATTTCGTTAGCAGAAACAGCTTTGTGCAAACCATTTCTCCAAACAGCCAACTAGCAAGTACTGAGTGCCTTCCATGTGCCAAGCACTCTGCCAGGAGCTGGGCCATGAGACCTGGATCCTGTACTTGAGGTGTTCACCTGCTTGCTGAGGAACCTGGCATTTTAAGGAGCTC